GAATTTTGGAGCACATCAGATGTTTTTTGTTTGTACTGGGTCTGGGTGGTGTCCCTTGGCCTTTTTTGCTCAAGGCTAGTGCCCTACCACTTGAGTCACAGCTCCACTTCTGACTTTTTGCTGATAAGAACCTTATGGGGCTGGGAAGGTGGCTCAGTGGTAGAGCGCTTGCCTTGCATGCGTGAGGCCCTGGGTTCGATTCCTCAGCACCACAAGCAAAAAGAAAAAAAGCCGGAAGTGGTGCTGTGGCTCAAGTGGTAGAGCACTAGCCTTGAGCTGAAGAGCTGAGGGACAGCGCCCAGGCCAAGGGTTCAGGCCCATGACTGGACCCAAAAAAACAAAACAAAAAAAACCTTATGATTTTTCTGCCCAGTCTGGACTTGAACCAAGATTCTCTGATCTCATCTACCTAGCTACAGATCCTCCAATCTCGGCCTCCTGAGTAGCTAGGATTATAGGCAGGAGCCACTGACACCTGTCACTTGAGATACTTTAAGAGCAGTGAAATAGAAACTAAAGACAGGCCAGATGACTTGCTTCAGTAATGGATTTTCTTTCCACTGGAAAAAATTGCCCTATTCTGGCTGGGCAAATAAGTTTATCTTGGTATTTCCCCTCAGTACCTCCAGGGTGGAAGTAACTAGAAGGATTTAGTGTGATAACTGAAGGGCAGTACCTCTCTAGCTTTCTCCTCTTTGGAAAAACCTGAGAGTTAACATTGGGGGATATTGGGTGCACTTGGTTGGGAGGGTTGGGTTTTGTTTAATTCCAGGCCCATGACTCACATCTGGCCTGTCACATGGTGCTGGACCAGACCCAAGGAAACACAACACACCTAGACCATTTGCTTTCAGCTGCTGGCAGGAGAGAGCTCCTTTCTAAATTGCTTCTCTCAGCCAGCAATGGCCTCCCTATGATTCAGAAAGAAGTACTCTGACTCATAGGCCATGTCACTAGGCCTGTTCCTGGGCTGCACGGTGTTGCCTTGTCAACTTCTCTCTTCCTCCAAACTGTGGCTCAGGTTGACACACATCAAGGTCAGAGCCGTGCTTTTTGTACTGTACTATGGAAACATCTTGTTCCATCACATTTCATTTGGCCCAGCACACTTAAATCATTTCTTATTTCCCTTCATCTTCCCACCCTCCTCCCTTCCTCAAACAACCCTCCAGTTCCGGCTCAGTTCTGTTGTTCTAAGCATCTGCTTTTGATGGATGCCTAGGTAACACCCCCCAACCCCCGCGTACCCCCCCCCCCCCACAATAATAAAGAAGCACACCTTCCCTATTTACACTTTGCTAACAGTTCCTGATTAGCCTTTCAGGAAATGTCAATGATGGTCTTGTGATAGGCTCAGAATCTGTTTTTCTAGTGTAAACATAATACCTTTTGCCAATCCCATGACCATTTCTCTTCCTGCCCCTCCCCCTTGCCCCACTGCTACATCCTGGAGTGCCATTCTGCCTGATCCATCGGTGACTGACTAAATGGTACCTACCACCCTAAAGAGCCTCTCTCTCTCTCTTTTTTATATATATATATATATATAGTCTGTCTGTATTGTATATTGAACTCAGGGCCTGGAGGCCTGGAGCTTGCTAGGCAAATGCTCTACCATTTGAGCCATGCCTCCAGTCTTCTTTTTTTTTGGTCAGTTGTGGGGCTTGAAGTCTGAGCCTGGGCGCTGTCCCTCAGCTCTTCAGCTCAAGGCTAGTGCTCTACCACTTGAACCACAGCACCACTTCTGGCTTTTTTCTGCTTATGTGGTACTAAAGAATCAAACAAACTCATGCATGCAAGGCAAGCACTCTACCACTGAGGCACCTTCCCAGCCCCTTCTTTTTTTCCCTTCCTTCCTTCCTTCCTTCCTTCCTTCCTTCCTTCCTTCCTTCCTTCCTTCCTTTCTTTCTTTCTTTCTTTCTTTCTTTCTTTCTTTCTTCCTTCCTTCCTTCCTTCCTTCCTTTCTTTCTTTCTTTCTTTCTTTCTTTCTTTCTTTCTTTCTTTCTTTCTTTCTCTTTCTCTCTTTCTTTCTTTCTTAATTTCTCTCACCGTGGGGCTTGAACTCTGGGCCTGGGCACTGTCCCTCAGCTCTTCAACTCAAGACTAGTGCTCTACCACTTAAGCCACAGCTCCACTTCCAGTTTTCTGGTGATTAATTGGAGATAAGAACCTCACAGATTTTCCTGCCCAGGCTGGCTTTGAACTGTGATCCTTAGATCTTAGCCTCCTGAGTAGCTAGGATTACAGGCCTGAGCCACAGGCACCCAGCTCCCTTCTTCTTTTTTTTTTTTCTGCTTATATAGTGCTGAGGAATCGAACCCAGGGCCTCATGCATGCAAGGCAAGCGCTCTACCACTGAGCCACCTTCCCAGCCCCTCCCTTCTTTTTTTTTAATGTTTACTTTTTTTTTTTTGGTCATGAGGCTTGAACTCTGGGCCTAGGCAGTATCCCTGAGCTCTTCCTCTCTCTGAGCTCTTCAGCTCAAGGCAAACACTCTACCACTTGAACCACATCGCTACTTCTGGTCTTCTGGTGGTTTATTGGAGATAGGAGTCTCTCGGACTTTCCTGCCCTGGGCTGGCCTTAAACCGTGATCCTCAGATCTCAGCCTTCTGAGTATTACAGGCGTGAGCCACCAGAGCCCTGCTAACATTTACTTTTTAGATAAGAATCTCATGCTTTTGCTCTGGCTGGCGCCTCTGACCATGATCTTCCTACCTCCACTTTCTGAATAATGAGGATTACAGTCATGTGTCACTATGTACCTGACAAGGAACCTTTTTGATCCTCTCCTTAAGCACCTAGTAGTCAAAGACTAGGTCTTACCATTTTTGTATCCTCCCCCAGCCCCCAAATGGCTACCATGATGCCTTGTGTTTTGGCAAAGATTTGTTAGTGAGAGGTCAAAGAGAATATTGAAGCAGGGCACTTGTGGCTCACATCTGTAATCCTAGCTTCTCAGGCGGCTGAGCTCTGAGGATCAAAGTTCAAAGCCAGCCCTGTCAGGCAAGTCTTGAGACTCTTGAATTCTAATTAACCACCACCACAAAAAAACAAAACAAAGCACACACACAAAACAACTAGATATGGAGGTGTGACTCATATTTGAGTGTGTCAGCCTTGAAAGAAAAGGCTAAGGCTAGATTATAGGGATGGTGAGGGCAACTCTAGCCATACTTCAAGGAGGTCTGGAGGCGTGGCTCAAGGGGTAGAGTTTCACCCAGTGAGTAAAACATCAGGTAGTGAGTTTGAGTCTGTCTTGGACAAGAAAAAGAAAAAGGCCTAGAATTTTGGGTGAAGAGAGCCTAGGGGTTAAGGAGAGAAAGAGTAATGGAGAAGGCATAAGAGCAGACTGGCTACAATTAAAAGCCAACCCAGCCATTAGCAAGAGAGGCCTTAGGAGAGAAAACTGGACTGTCTTGGAAATGTGATCCACATGGCCTTGGGGCAAATCATATTTAAGGGCTATTGTTTGATATATAGAGCCAAAGCCTAGCTCTTGGCTTTCCTGCCCTCACCTTTCCTTCAGGCACCAGCCCCTTTGATAATGCTTGTTTGGTGTGAGGATATTTTGACAGACTGTATTTGAAAATCAAACAGCAGGCTTGGCAGAATGACCTGACGGTAGCCTCCAGTATCCTGTTCTTTGAGAGAATCTCTTAATAAGTAGTTTATCATCTATAAGAACAACCACCCAAGCCAGGTGCCAGGGCACATATCTGTGATCCTAGCTACTCTGGAGGCTGATATCTGAGGACTGAGGTTGAAAGCCAATCAGGGCAAGAAAGTTTATGTCACTCTTATCTCAAGCACCAAAAAAGCCAGAAGTGAAGGTGTGGTGCCAGTTGGTAGAGTGCTATCCTTGAGAGAGAGAAAAAAGAAAAAGCTAAGAGACAGCACCCAGGCCCTGAGTTCAGGCTCTAGGATTGATACCCCGCAAAAAGAAAAGAAAAGCTGCCCAACTCAATTCACCCTGTTCTGTGTCATCTCCCCCACCTCTGCCATCACTTAACATGGATGAATTCACTGTCCATCTTCTAGATTTGACCAGAATACCTTGGTGCAGTGTAGATCCCCATGTGCACAAATACGTCTTTTATTATTTATTTTATTGCCGGTAGTGGGGCCTGAACTCTGGGCTTTTCAGCTCAAGGCTAGTACTCTACCACTTGCGCCACAGTGCCACTTTTGGCTTTTTCTGCTTACGTGGTGCTGAGGAATAGAACCCAGGGCCTCATACATGCAAGGCAAGCACTCTACCACTTAGCCACATACCCAGCCCCACAAATACATCTTTTGTTTACTTGTTCTTTCCTACATCTCCCTCTGTGTTCCTCAGGACCTTAGTCTAGTTATAGTCTAGTTATAGCCATCATTCCATACCTGGGGGGTTGGTTCCAAGAGCACCTCCACATCCCAGAACCTCAGATTGGCAAGTCCCTTACCAGCTTTCTCCTACTTGGTCATTCTATCCTGTCTTTGTCAGTGTTGTTGGGATTCATTGCAGGCCTTCATTGTAGCCTTTCTTCTGGTATGAGAAACCCTGAGATGTGCTACAGAACTAAAACAATGACAAGGCAGGAAATGGGAGGAGGTCACGTGTCTGACTTCCCAGAAGTAGCCACACTAGATGCTGGACCTGTGGGGATTGTGCCAGGCTACAGGGGGCATGTGGATGGCAGGCTTTACCCACCTCTCCAGAATCATCAGGGCACATGTTTCTGACTTCCCTGGGTCTTAGTCAGAGTCTCCAGAATATCCCCTTTCCTGGAATCAGGAGGTAGCTTTGGATGGGAGCCTTTACCCTCCATCTTCCTTACTTTAGGGAAAAAATGCAGGTAGCACTCCATCACTGAGGTGCACCCCCAGTCCTAGGGGAGGGAGCTGCTTCTGTCTGAGCCTTTGCTTCTATGCTGTCGTTCTGATCTCCCTCCCTCTGCCTCTTCCCATAAACAGACCTGTAGTGCTCACCACATTGTACTTTCTCTATCTCCCCACAGGAGAGGCCTGAACCCACCTCATCGCGTCAAATCCATCTCCATGACAACTTTCACCGAACCTGAAGTGGTATTCCTGCAATCCCGTGGAAATGAGGTAAGCTGCCACAGAGAGAGTAGGTAGCTGACTCTCAGAGAAACTACACCTGGGTTGGGATGCATTCCAGCATGCCAGCCAGTTTTTTGTTGGTGGTGGTGGTCATGGGGCTTGAACTCTGGGCCTGAGTGATGGTCCCTCAGCTCTTCAGCTCAAGGCTAGCGCTCTACCACTTGAGCTACAGCACCACTTCTGGTTTTCTGTAGTTTACTGGAGATAAGAGTTTCACGGACTTTCCTACCCAGGCTGGCTTTGAATCATGATCCTCAGATCTCAGCCTCCTGAGTAGCTAGGATGACAGGCATGAGCTACCAGCGTCCGGCTCAGCCAGGAGTTGTATCTCAAGATTGCAGGAAGAAACACACACACACACACACACACACACACACACACACACACACACACACACACACACACACACACACACACACACACACACACACACACGAGTTTTCTTTAGGGGGTCTTTTTCTTTTTTGTCAGTCGGGATTGAACTCTGGGCCTGGGCACTGTCCCTCAGCTCTTCAGCTCAAGGTTAGCACTCTACCACTTGAGCTACATCGCCACCTCCGGCTTTTTTCTTTTTGCTTATGTGGTGCTGAGGAATCGAACCCAGGGCCTCATGCATGCAAGGCAAGCGCTCTACCACTGAGCCACCTTCCCAGCCCAGGGATTTTTTTTCAGAGCTGGTACTCTACCATCTGAGCTAAGCTCCACTTGCAGCTTTTTTTTTTTGTTTTGGTGGTTCATTGGGGATAAGAGTCTCACAGACTTCCCTGCCCAGGCTGACTTCAAACCATGATCCTCAGATCTTTGCCTCCTGAGGAGCTAGGATTACAGGCATGAGCCACCAGCATCAAGCTGAATTCATTATTATCATCATCATCATCATTATTTAATCTAAGGCTTGTCTTCCCATTAGATTAGAAACTCTGTGAAGGGAGGGATCATGTCTGATTTGTAGGTATACCCAGATCCTAGCCCTGTATCTAAATCAGTAAATATTTATTGATGAAGACATTGAACATGGCAAGTGGGTGAAAGGTAATTTGGAGCATCTTTCATATTTCATGCTTGTGGATCCAACTTCTTTGTCACCCAACTCCATCCCTTCAGGCTTGCAGGAAGATTTGGCTGGGTCTCTTTGATGCTCGGACATCCTTAATACCAGATTCCAGGGATCCTCAGAAAATAAAAGAGTTTCTTCAAGAAAAATATGAGAAGAAAAGATGGTAAGTAGGGGAAGGACGTAGCTATGGACATATATTGTTAAGACATGTTTCATCTGGCAGTCAAGTTTTTAAAGTGAAATTTGGGCTTCTCTCAAATGCTGGGTTTAGCTGGGAAGGTGGCTCAGTGGTAGAGCGCTTGCCTTGCATGCATGAGGCCCTGGGTTCGATTCCTCAGCACCACATAAGCAAAAAGAAAAAAGCCGGAAGTGGTGCTGTGGCTCAAGTGGTAGAGTGCTAGCCTTGAGCTGAAGAGCTGAGGGACAGCACCCAGGCCCAGAGCTCAGGCCCCACAACTGGATTCCAAAAAAAAAAAAAATCAAATGCTGGGTTTAGGTTAAGGCTATGCTACTAAGATTCAATTAGGGCTAAATTCTTACTTTAGAAAAATAAATTGACATGAAAGAACTTTTTTTTTTGGTCAGTTGTGGGGCTTGAACTCTGGGCCTGGGCACTGTCCCTCAGCTTTTCAGCTCAAGGCTAGTGCTCTACCACTTGAGCCACAATGCTACTTCTGGTTGTCTGGTGATTTATTGGAGATAGAGTTTCCACGGACTTTCCTGCCCAGACTGGCTTTGAACCCTGATCCTCAGATCTCATCTTCCTGAGTTGCTAGGATTACAGGCATGAGCCACCAGTGCCCAGCAAGAATTTATTTTTGGCCATTGACTCTGTTGTTCTTGATGTCCCTCCTTTAAAGAGACTCTAGTCTGGAATGGAAAAGTAAGCTTGTGCTAATGTGAACTCAGTTTGTGGGTTTTTCAAGCATTGTTTTTTTTGTCGGTTGTGGGGCCTGAACTCTTGGCCTGGGCGCTGTCCCTGAGCTCTTCAGCTCAAGGCTAGTGCTCTATCACTTGAGCCACAGTGCCACTTCAGCTTTTTTGGTGCTTATTGGAGATAAGAGTCTCATTGACATACTTGCCTAGGATGGCTTCGAACCAGTCCTAGATTTCAGCCTCCTAAATAGCTAGGATTACAGGCATGAGCCACCAGCACCTGGTGTGAACTGTTTTTATAGTTTAGTTGATTTTATACATGAAAAGAGGTGGATAAAAGCATTTTCTTTCCTTCCTTCCTTCCTTCCTTCCTTCCTGCTGTTCCTCGAAGCTTGAACTCAGGGCCTGGGCACTGTCCCTGAGCTTTTTTTGGCTCAAGGATAGTACTCTACCACTTGAGCCACCCCCACCCAGCTAACTTTATACTATTAATCCATCATTCATTCATGGTTTATGGGTATTCTGTTTTATAGGTGAAGAAAAGAGCATCTCCATTCTCCCCTACCTTTTCTCTCACAAAGTTTTCCCTCTTGTTGTTTGATCTTTGGGCATGTGCTAGTCAGGGGAGTCTGATAACTGTTAACAGGTGAAGAAAAAACTGTAGGAACAAGGAGATTGACGCAAATAGAACCACATTAAGATGCTTCTAGATAGGGACCATTTGTGCTTTGGTAGGAAGAGGTTTTTTTATCAGAAGTAGCAGGAGCTGGAGATCAGGATAAGTTGTGAGCACTGAGTATGAGGTGCAGACCCCTTCCTGTGGAATGTAGAAGGAAGAACCTGAAGACACACCCAGGAAAAAAGAACAATTTGGCTGGGAAGTTAGAAAATCAACATTATTGCATGTGTTATTACTTCAAATCCAAATGTTTTTTTGTTTTTTTGGGTTTTTTTGGAGGGGTTGTTGGTCATGGGACTTCAACTCCAGTCCTGGGCACTGTCCCTCAGCTCTTCAGCTCAAAGTGAGCACTCTACCACTAGAGTCACAGCGCCACTTCTGGTTTTTCTGGAAGTTAATTGGAGATAAGAGCCTCAGGAGCCAGGTGCCAGTGGCTCATGCCTGTAATCCTAGCTGCTCAGAAGGCTGAGATCTGAGGACCACAGTTCAAAGTCAGCCCAGGCAGGAAAGTCTGTGAGACTCTTATCTTCAATAGACCACTAGAAAACTAGGAAGTGACACTGTGATTCAAGTGGTAGAGTGCTCGCCTTGAGCTTAAGAGTTCAGGGACAGGACTGGGAAGGTGGCTCAGTGGTAGAGCGCTTGCCTTGCATGCATGAGGCCCTGGGTTCGATTCCTCAGCACCACATAAGCAAAAGAAAAAAGCCGGAAGTGGTGCTGTGGCTCAAGTGGTAGAGTGCTAGCCTTGAGCTGAAGAGCTGAGGGACAGCACCCAGGCCCAGAGTTCAGGCCCCATGACTGGACACCCCCCCAAAAAAAAAATGTTCAGAGACAGCACTCAGGCCCAGAGTTCAAGCTCAACAACCAATGGCAACAACAACAACAAAAAAAGAGCCTCATGGACTTTCCTGCCCAGGCTGGCTTTGAACCGCGATCCTCAGATCTCAGCCTCCTGAGTAACTAGGATTACAGGAATAAGCCACTAGCTCCTGGCCCAAATAGTTTTAACTTCTAGAAAATAGACACGGGGCTGGGCAGAGTGCTTGCCTAGCATGCATGAAGCCCTGGGTTTGATTCCTCGGTACCACATAAACAGATAAAGCTGGAAGTAGCACTGTAGCTCAAGTGGTAGAGCACTAGCCTTGAGCACAGAGAGGCTGAGGGACAGAACCCAGGCCCTGAGTTCAAGCCCTAGGACTGATGAAAGAAAGAAAGAAAGAAAGAAAGAAAGAAAGAAAGAAAGAAAGAAAGAAAGAAAGAAAGAAAGGAAGGAAGAGAAGGGAAGGGAAGGGAAGGGAAGGGAAGGAAAAGAGACAAAATACAAGCTTAGTGCTCATGGTTTCAGCCTGTAATCCTAGCTACTAAGGAGGCTGAGAGCTGAGGATCTGGGTTCAAAGCTAAAAGCTAGCCTGGGCAGGAAAGTCTGTGAGACTCTTATCTCCAGTGAACCACCAAACAGCCAGAAGTGGAAGTGTGGCTCAAGTGGGCCAGTCTTGAGCAAAAGAGGTAAGGCATAGCACCCAGACCCTGAATTCATGCTCCATTTTTTAACTAGTCCTGGGGCTTGAACTCAGGGCCTAGGCACTGTCCCTGAGCTTCTTTTGCTCAAGGCTAGCACTCTACCACTTGAGCCACAGTGCCACTTATGGAGCTATTTATGTGGTACTGAGGAATAGAACCCAGGGCTTCATACATGCTGGGCAAGCACTCTACCACTAAGCCACATTCCCAGCTCTCCATTTTTTATTCTAAATAAAATTTTATTTTATTTATTTAGTTATTAATTATTATTATTATTATTTTGTTGGTCGTGGGGCTTGAACTCTGGGCTTGGGTGCTATCCCTGCGCTCTTCAGCTCAAGGCAAGTGCTCTACCGCTGAGCCACAGCACTACTTCCAGTTTTCTGGTGGTTTTATTGGAGATAAGAGTCTCGGATTTTCCTGCCCAGGTTGGCTTTGAACCGTGATCCTCACATCTCAGTCTCCTGAGTAGCTAGGATTACAGGAGTGAGTCACCGGTGTCCGGCTCTAAATAAAATTTTAGAATAGAAAAGAAAAGAGATACAGCATAGCACAAACCAAATGTTTCTATATCAAATGAGCATCAAGATACTCAAGGGGAACTGGGGGTGTGGCTCAATGACAGAATGCTCAATCCCCAGCATCCCAAAAAAGGACAACAAAGAGAAACGCTCAAAATTCTGCTCAAGGAAATAACTCGGTTATATTGCCAAATTCCCCTTCCTAAAAGATGGAGTGTACACACACACACACACACACACAAAGTAAAAAGATTGTAAGGTGTTTTACCAAACAGCTGAGCTGAGCTGAGCATGGTCCAAGGTTTTAGTTGTGTCTTTAGCCTGACTGTTCTTTTTCAAAGGTATGTGCCCCCAGACCAAGTCAAGGGGGCTACTTGCACCAAAGGCGGGGCCCCCACTTCTGTCCAGGGCTCCATCCCAGGAGGGAAGCCCCTGCGAACCCTTCTTGGGGATCCTGTACCCCCCCTCTCGGATGTTGCCTCCACCTCAAGCCAGGTAACTCTCAGATCTTCCTTCCATGTTTCTGTTGTGATTTGGATAATAAGACAGATGACACTTTAATGATGTCACTCTGGGCATGGCAGAGTATAGGGCAAGAACTGTAGCATGCTATAGGGCTTCAGCCCTGCTGTGGCCTCTGAACCTTTTTGGGAAGAGCCCAACAGGAAGTAACTTTGAGGGGAGTCATGAGTGTCAACTCCAGAGCCAGGTGCTGGGGTCTCGTCCCTGGAATCCTAGCTACTCAGATGGCTGAGATCTGAAGATCACCGTTAGAAGCCAGCGTGGGCAGAAAAGTCCACTGATTCTTATCTCCAGTTTTTACCAGCCAAGAGCCAGGAGTAGAAGTGTGGCTCAAGTGGTAGAGTACCAGGCTTGAGCTGAAAAAGCCGGGGGAGATCAGGAAGCTCTGTGTTCAAGCCCTAGTACAGGTACACGTGCACATGCACATGCGCGCGCGCACACACACACACACACACACACAGATATTAACTCCAGGCATGACCATTTTCCTTCAAGGAAGCACAGAAGTAGCTGGGACATTGCCTACTAGGGGATGATGAGTTTGCAGCCACAGAGCACTGCTGGGTGCATGTATCTGTTACCTTGGCTCATCTACTCTAAAAGTCATGGTTCTTGAGTCTGGGGATCCTAAGGATTCAAAGTTAAGTTAGGAGAGGGGCTAAGGTAACTTGTGCCTGGGGAGTCTCTCAGCTAAGAGTAGTTCCTCTCAGTTCTCTCCATTTCCCTTCGAGAATCTAGATAAAAGGTATGTCTGTCTGTCTGTCTGGGTCATAGCTGGATTCTAAGTGCTGTTTACAAATCCTTCTCCCAGTCTGTCAGCCAGTCTCAGACCCGGACAGTCCAGGCCCGGGGCTCCCAGCCCCCTCCTCACTCCTCAGCTAAGAAAGCCAGCACGGACCTGCTGGCTGACATCGGTGGAGACCCCTTTGCTGCTCCCCAGGCAGCACCAGCTTTTGCCGCCTTCCCAGCTTTTGGGGGTAAGTGATGAGAAGTTCCCTCCCACATGAACACCTCCGCCACCAGACTTGGTGGCCTTCAGGGCACTCCCAGCTTCCTGTGCCTCTGGATCTCTTGAACATGAGCAATGTGACTGGGGCCTCCTGGCCCCTCATTTTAGAACATGGAAAGAGCCTACTTTATTTAAAATGGGAAGAAGGCAGGGTGCTGGTGGCTCATGCTTATAATCCTAGCTACTCAGGAGGTTGAGCTCCAGATCATGGTTCGAGGTTAGCTCAAGTAGGAATGTCCATGAGAATCTTTTTTTGGGGGGGTGGGGGGTCCGGTCGTGGGGCCTGAACTCTGGGCCTGGGTGCTGTCCCTCAGCTCTTCAGCTCAAGGCTAGCACTCTACCACTTGAGCCACAGCGCCACTTCCGGCTTTTTTCTTTTTGCTTATGTGGTGCTGAGGAATCGAACCCAGGGCCTCATGCATGCAAGGCAAGCGCTCTACCACTGAGCCACCTTCCCAGCACCATGAGAGTCTTATCTCCATTTAACTACCAGAAAATAGGTAGTGGTACTGTGGCCCAAAGTGGTGGAGCTCTAGCAGAAAAGCTCAGGGATAGTGCTCAAACCTTGAGTTCAAGCCCCACAATTGATAAAAAAAATTTTTTTTGAATAAAGTGCTATCTAGTTTTTTGGGGTTTTTTTGCAGGAGAGTGGGTACTGGTATTTGAAACAAAAGAATTTCTTTTTCTTTTCTTTGCCGGACCTGGGGCTTGAGCTCAGGGCAGGGGCGCTGAGCTTTACTTGCTCCAGGCTAGCCCTCTATCGCTTGAGCCACAGCGCCATTTCTGGCTTTTTCTGTTTATATGGTATCGAACCCAGGGCTTCATGCATGCTAAGAAAGCACTCTACCACTAGGCCACATTCCTACCTTCATCTTTTTTTCTTGATTAATTATCTTTCAGTAGTTGTATAGCAGGGTTTCAATTCAACATATCTGGGGGTGGGAAGGTGGCTCAGTGGTAGAACGCTTGCCTTGCATGCCTGAGGCTCTAGGTTTGATTCCTCAGCACCACATAAGCAAAAAGAAAAAAGCTGGAAGTAGCGCTGTGGCTCAAGTGGTAGAGTGCTAGCCTTGAGCTGAAGAGCTGAGGGACAGCGCCCAGGCCCAGAGTTCAGGCCCCACGACTGGACCAAAAAAACACAACCTGTGGTCTCTGGCCTGCAGCCAGTAGTCATATAGATATACATTTATCTTTTCTTTAAATAATCTTTATATTTTCTTCACCTTTAGGCCAGACACCTTCCCATGGGGGCTTTGCCAACTTTGATGCCTTTGGCAGCAGCCCCAGTTCTTCTGCCTTTGGAAGCCTTCCTCCAGCTGGCCAGGCCCCATTCCAGGCCCAGCCAACCCCTGCAGGTAAACCGCCCTGCCCATTTCCACTCTGTCTTCCAGCCTCTTCTACTATCCACATCCATGTATCACTGTGCATTCAAATCCAAGCTACTGACCATGCAAAAGAGAAGAAGCTTCAGGAAAGGAGAGTCAGGGGTGGGACGGGCGGCACTATGGGCCTATTTTTCATTTTAAAGAAAGTGGCTGAACAGGTTCTACCCTAGGAAATTTCTGGACTGGAAATCCAGAAGACCTTAAGCCTAGAAAAATGTGAGCATGCACCTGTTATCCTAGCTACTCAGGTGGCTGGGAGCAGGGCATCAAGGTTCAAAGCCATCCCATGCTGACAAATCTTAAGAAACTCTTACCATCAGTTAACCAGCCAAAAGCCAGGAGTGGGGCTGTGACTCAAGTAGTAGAGCACCAGCCTTGAGTGATAAAGCTAAAGGAGCACTCAAAGTCCTGAGTTCAAGCCCCAGTACTGGCACACGCACACAAAGGTTTATTTTAAGAAATTGCATTAGAGATGCTCTGGTCCTATTGAAACCGTTCAGTTTCTCCCTCAGCCCCCAGACTTCAGCCTTCACAGTCTGTGCTTTTCCCTCTTCCTTTGTCTGTCCTGAATGCTAGGGAGGGCTGCTGGAGGGTTGTGGAGATGCAAGGTAGGGACAAGCCAGTGACTCATGGTCTTTCTCCCTTCCTCTCCCTCCCTTGCCCTTTTCCCACCTTCCCTGCCAGCCAGTCGGATGCTAACTGGGAGTTACAGCTTTGGTAAGTTCTCTTCCCATCCCACAGCTTACCCAGGGGTCCATAACAAAAAGTTTTTAAGGTCTGAAAGGATCCCATTAAAATATAACCAGGGCTTCCGTACAGTGTGTGCTTAGAATGTGTGAGAACTCTGAGTTTGGTCTCCAACTTGTAACTGTTTGTACGGTTAGAAAATTGAGCTGTTTTATAGGTGAGGCAGTAAAGCAAATTCTCTAGTGGTCCAGCCCACAGAGTGGCTGAGCTGATGCTTCTGGACTCTACCTCTGCCCATAGCTTCCCACTGGGCCCAAACAAAATGGTGGCGTGTTCTTGTTTTGATTCGATTTTTATATTTCTTGATGGAACAAGAGGAGAGATATTTTATATTGATTTAAAAAAGTTAAGGCACAAAGAAGTTCTTGTAATAATGAGCTTACAGTAACTGACAATGTAACTTTGAGATTCACAAAGCAGAAGCTGTTAGACACAGAATTTAATAGATTAGGAAAGCTCTATAAACTCTCTCACAAGATTCATGATAAGCTAAGCACTGTGGCTCACACCTATAATCCTAGCTACTTAGGAGGCTGACATCTGAGAATGGTGGTTTGAACCCCAGGCAAGAACATCCATGGACCTTTTTTTTTTTTTGGTGGGGTTTGAGCTCAGGGCCTGGAACCCACTATCCCTGAGCCTCTTTGTGCTCAAGGCTAGTACTCTACCACTTGAGCCACAGCGCCACTTGGAGTTTTTGAGTGGTTATTTGTAGATAAGAGTCTCACAGGGACTTTTCTGCCCAGGCTAACTTCAAACTGCAATCCTCAGATCTCAGCCTCCTGAGTAGCTAGGATTATAGGCATGAGCTGCCATTGCCCGGCCCATGAAACTCTTTTTTATTTTTGCTAGTCCTGGGGCTTGAACTCAGGACCTGGGCATTGTTCCTGAGCTTCTTTTGCTCAAAGCTAGCACTCTACCACTTGAGCCACAGCGCCACTTCCAGCGCTGTTTGTGTAGTACTGAGGAATCGAACCCAGGACTTCATATATGCTAGGCAAGCACTCTACCACTAAGCCACATTCCCAGCCCTCCATGAAATTCTTATTGCCAATTAACCACCAAAAAGCTGAAATAGAGTGGTATCTCAAATGGTAGAGTCTCAGCCTTGAATGTGAAAGCTAAGGAGCCCTGAGTTCAAGCCCCAGTATCAGCACCAAAAAAAAAAAAAAGACTCACTATAAAATAAATTGGCAAGCATGGGCTGGGAAGTTCGCTCAGTGGTAGACCCCTTGCCTTGCATGCCTGAGGCCCTGGGTTCGATTCCTCAGCACCACATAAGCAAAAAGAAAAAAGCCGGAAGTGGCACTGTGGCTCAAGTGGTAGAGCGCTAGCCTTGAGCTGAAGAGCTGAGGGACAGCACCCAGGCCCAGAGTTCAGGCCCCATGACCAGACCCAAAAAAAAAAAATTGGCAAGCAAACAAAAGGATATGAACAATTCTTTTATTAAGTTTGATCTAATAAATATGACTACAACTTTGTAACCAATAGTGAGACTATGTATTCTTTTCTTTTTGCCATCCTGAGGATTGTGCTAGGTGTATGTTTTACCGCTGAGCTACATCTCTATCCCAGAATATATATTATTTGCAAACATTCAAATCTTTTTATGATTTGACCACTATAGGAACTAAAATCCCCACAAATTCCATCAAATAAGAGTTGCATAGGTCCTGCCCTGTTAAAAAAAGATATTCTAAGCCAGATACTGGTGGCTCATGCCTGTAACCCTAGCTATCAGAAGGCTGAGATCTGAGAATTGTGGTTTAAAGCCATCCCAGACAGATAAATCTGAGAAACTCTCATCTCTAATTAACCAATAAAAAGGCCAGAAGTATAGTTATGGCTCAAGTGGTAGAGTGCCAGTCTTGAGTGAAAAGGCAAGCTAAAAGAGAGAATGAGGACATTATCTGTTAAATTCCTATAATTAAACAAAGGATAGAATGCCAGGTGCCATGACTCATGCTTGTAATCCTAGCTACTCAGGAGGCTGAGATCTGAGGATCATGGTTCAAAGCCAGCCTTGGCAAGAAAACCCTTATGACTCTCCTGTTAACCACGAGAAAGCTGGAAGTGGAGCTGTGGCTCAAAGTAGTAGAGTGCTAGCCTTGAGCAAAAGAGCTCAGGGATAGTGTCCAATCCCTGAGTACAAGCCCCATGACTGACAAAAAAATAACTAGACTGGAGGCATGACTCAAATGGTAACATACTAGCTAAGGAAATAGAATGTCCTGAGTTCAAATCCTGGTACTAGAAAAAAAAACTGGTCAGCTGAGAATATGGCTTAGTGATAAAGTGCTTGCCCAGAGTTCAGGCCCTGGGTTTGATTCCTCAGTACTACATACACAGAAAAGGCCGGAAGTGGCACTGTGGCTCAAGTGGTAGAGAGCTAGCCTTGAGCAAAAGAAGTTCAGGGACAGCCCCCAGGCCCTGAGTTCAAGCCCCAGGACTGGCAAGAAAAGAAAAGAAAAAAAAAAACCACAAAAATACTGGTACCTCCTGACATGACTTCTTGCACAACTGATTAAAGATGGAGGTTACATACAGACCCAAAGAAAAGGAAGACCTCAGTTGCACAGCCAGCAGGCACTAAACTTCCTTTATCCAATGTCTGCATAAAGACAATCTGCAGCCAAACCCAGTGAGCCCACGAGGAAGGAAAGATCTGCATTTTGTCAGTGAAGAAACTAGCTCATCTCCCTGTGGCCAGTTATTTGGCTAACATCCAACATTATTAGGAGGCTGAGATCTGCGGATTGTGGTTTGAAGCCAGCTTGGGCAGGAACGTTCATGAGACTTTTACCTCCAATTAACCAGCAAAAAGCCAGAAGCAAAACTGTGGCTCAGGTGGAGAGCACCAGCCTTGAGGAAAAAAGCCAAGTGAGAACATGAGGTCCTGACTTCAAGTCTCAGCACTGGCAACAAAAAAAAAGTAATGCTGTTAATGGGAGACCCTCTCACTTTCACCCACCATGACCTTGAGAGTGATCTGAGTGTGGCATAAGACACGGTTGGGTAGTAGAATACCAGGCCCTGAGTCTGATCCCCAGGGCCAAAAAGCAAAACAAATCACAAACAAAAACAAAAGGCTAGGTATAGTTGCTCCTTCCTGTAATCCTACCTACCCAGGAGGCATATTTAGGAGGATTGCAGTCCTAAGTCAGCCCTAGGACAAAGCATGATAGCCTATCCAAAAAATAACAAACAAAAAGGGTTAGTGGCATGACTCAAGTGGAAGAGCTCTTGCCTAACCAGTTTCAGGCCCTGAGTTCAAACCCCAGTATTACCAAAGACAACACACACACACACACAAAACAACAACACAACACACTTAATGTGTAGGTAGTAGGAAAGATTTTGAGAGACTAGTCTCTTCCCACAAGTCTGGTTTCATATTTAAATTTTTGAGGAGTATGGGGAAGGCAAGGTTTGAGAGACTGCAGTTACCTCTGAAGCCACTCTAAGGTCCATATGCAAATCCAGTTGTAGGGGAGAGGCGCTGGAGATGTAGGTACCAGGTGTAGATGGCTAGACTACAAGATGGATGGTACCACCTCCCTTAGTGAAAATATCCCTGTGCCTGAGACCCAGGATACCTGAATTAGGGCCAGCTTTGCCCTCTAGTGTCCACACCGAGGCACAGCAGCCCTGATCAGCAGATGTACAATGCCCTAGCCTTAATGACCTTGTGGGTGAAGGATGGGGAGTTGGGTGTGCATGTGGGAGGGAGGTAGGGCAGGAGGAGAGGATGTTAGGTAACAGAGCTGGTCCTCATGACCAGGCAGCAGGCAGGTGCCACGGACCTTCTCCTTTCTGCAATTTTCTGAGCCACTATTTCCACTCAATGCCTGGCACTGAATGAGCCCCTCAGAAGAAAAATCAAAACCAAGCATTGGTGGCTCATGACTCTAATCCTAGCTACTCAGGAGGCTGAAATGTGAGGATGATGGTTCCCAGCCAGTCTAAGCAGGAAAATCCATGAGACACCCCGGCCCCCCTTGTCCTGGGGCTTGAACTTAGGACCTGAGCACTGTCCCTGAGCTTCTTTTGCTTAAGGCTAGCACTCTACCACTTGAGCCACTTCTGGCTTTTTTTTTTTTTTTTTG